CTGCCTCTGGTCACTATCTGTTTTATGAGGGAGCCCCTAGTGCTTACAGGAAGGGCCCATAAATAACTTTGGGTGACTGCCTCAACTTGAATTAACTGCCTCCTGTCCTATGTCAGTTTTAGAACAAGATGAACAAATAGAGTCTGGGGCAGGATAAGTTTTGGACTAACAGACCCCACACATACCTAAGTTTGGGAAGTGACATTTCCCCTGCTACCAGTCAATCAATACGTAACTTCTTCACCCCCATCCTGCCAACTATATAAGTCCTCAGGACAAAGGACCTGGTGCTTTGCCCGTCCTTACCTAGCCCTGCCCTGAACCTATGCCTTTCAACTCCCACCTTAGATAGGTCCGCTCTCTTCCATGAGAACTTACCACACATGAATCCTGCTTACGTGCCAATAGACTAGCTGATCTGTAATTCTTTACTGTGTCAGCAAGAAGAACCAGGTTTCTCCCGTAACACATCCATCCATCCATTCATCCATCCATCCTGCTTTTGTTCTTTTAGAAAAGATCTAAGGTAGTGACTTAAATAAAGTAACTTAGGAAATCAATCATTTAAAAAATAAATAGAAATATCAATAGTGAGTTCATCTTTATCTGCCTTCTCATAGTTTCATGTTTTCCAAATTTTCTTGGCCTGTTATTATAATAACTTAAAGAGTGACTCTTTATGGATTGAAAAAATTAATCCAGCCAGGGCTGTCCTGTTTCTTTTTATACTTGGTGAGTTATCAGTTAACCAGATTTTTTATTTTTAGATCTCTTTGTTCCTCCAGAGGATCAAAAAGAGAATCTTTTATGCCTGTGACTTTACACATTACTGATAAAATGTAAGACCTCTGAAGCTCTAGCAGTTTCTGTCCTCAAGGGTCCTGCAACGCCTCCCTGAGAAATGGTACCCAGCAATATTATATAAAATATTAAAAGGGCATTTATTATTTGATAGAAATTGGAATCTAGCACATTAGGATCAGATTGAATCTGAGTTGGATGAACCATTCAAGGTCCCCTGTCCAGCCAACAGTCTCACCCAAGATGCAATGAGATTCTAGCCAGTGGACTGCTTCCACCTAGTGGTGAAATGTGGTCATACCACTTACAGTGCGCAACCTCACAGTTCATAAACATCAGAAATTTATTTTTTACGGTTCTAGAAGTTGGAAGTCTGAGGTCAAGGTATCAGCAGGGTTGATTTCTTTTAAGGCTTCTCTCCTTGGCTTGTAGATGGGCTGGGTGTTCACCTGTGTATCTAGGCCCTAATCTCTTTTTATAAGGGTATCAGGCATGTACTAGATAGGTCCCACCCTAATAATCTTGTTTTAACTTAATCACCTCTGTAAAGACCCAGCTCCACACAGAGTCACATTCTGTGGCGCTGGGGGTCCGGATACTCCCACACTGCAACTTTAGCATGTGATTACTGTTAATCATTTTATTTACACACCCACCACCACCCACGTGAAGCTGTGTCAGGAACTGACTTTGTCCACCCCGCCCGTCCCCACCCCACCAGCCTTTTGCTGCAATAAAAGAGAATGTGTGTGTTTCTCGTTCCTGGCAATGTCAACAACCTAAACAATGTCCTATTCATCTTCACATTCTCAGAACACGTGCGGGGCACAGAGTAATGCTTCCAAAGTGTCTATTGAAAAATAAAGGTAAAATGATCCGCTCTCGGGGAGCACAGGGTTGGGGCACCCACATACATATTTGGAAATATTTTCAGTGAGACGCTTTTGTTAACTGAGTCAGGGGGATGTTGATAAAGGTACCGGTGGGACAAGGTTAGCCTTGGGTTGTCACCGCTGAAGCTGGGTGATGGCGTTGTAGTAGTCTCACTGCTCTTAAATACATTTAAGCTTTTCATTAATAAAAAGTGTCTTTTAAAAGCCCCGTTTTCTTGTAAATGGGCAAGAGAAAGGGGGGTTGGTATTGTATTGTAATGCACCAGTCTGTCCTGGAAAGCTGACTGCTTTTGCAGGTTGTCACAATGGCCCTTTGTTAAGGAACAATGGTGGTTACTTCCTCCTCTTCTGGGAATAAGCCCAGTCGGGGATGTCACCACTGTGGCTAGTGACATCCTCATCTTTTCTTCAGCAAGAGGGGAAGGAACAATTGAGTAATGCAGTGATTATTGTTCCATGTTACCCTTTGGCTCAGGCGTTGTAAACAGACTTGTCTTTAGTGAAGGCCTGAGTGAGGGCTTCTAGGAGCTGGTAGAAATTTCCATTGTCGAGGGTGTCCTGAGATTCCATACCAAGAGCGTCATTAAAGGTTACAAAGAAGGAAATTGCATAGAAATGAAATATAGGTTTGGTATTTTCATGTGAAGAAAGGGGGACAACAAGGAATACACAGCGTTCGCTGTTTGGGTGTGTGACCGCGTAGAAACTTCATTTCTTTAATATGACCTTGTCTCCTTTCTTTCCATCTGATTCAGGCTGGCCTCGTCCAGCACCCTGCCTCCCCTGCCTGCCTCCCCGCGGAAGACCACCCGCTGAAGCTTGGAGCCCTCAGGACATGGGGTTCTGGTCAGACCCCGTCCCCCTTCCTCACCGCCAGTAGTGATTTTCCCCTGCATCACATTCTGTCTCAGTAAGTCGTCCCAGGCCGCTCGGGGGACGGACTCTCTGGAGGGCGGGGGTTTTTGTCTGTTTGACTATCGCGCTACCCCCGGCACCCAGCTCGCTTCCAATGCTTGTTGAATGAATGATTGTATTTATATCCTCAGATGTCACTCATATAAACTGTTGCCCGGGTCTTCTGTATTTATGTTATTGATTGTTTTTAACTGTCCGCAGGACTTGCAATTAAACTTGGTAGGACACTGACATTTCCACTTGTTTTGAGACATCACTGCAGTCGGTCCCTATCTTTTGGATCAATCTCCTAGCGAGTTAAGTATCCCTTCCAGCCATGTACCACCTGCATATTTGATGAGTGACATCAGTCCACTGCCTGGTAACTGCAGCTGTGTCTGGGGTGGGGCGGGGCTGGAAGAGACAGGTGGGTCCCGCAGGGGGTCATAAGCAATTAGAAAAGGAGAGATGTCATAGGAACTTCTTGAAGCTCAGCATGAAGCAAAGGTAGAGCAAGTCCAAATCAGGTGTCATGTAAGATGGAGCTAATTTGGGGGATTAAATAACTTTTACTGGGCATGAAGTCAGGAGACCTGGGAAAGGATCCCAGCTGGCATCATGGAAAAATGAATTAATAGAGTTGCATACCTGTGTGAGTGAGAGGTCTCCAGAGAAATAGACCCAATGGAGTGTGTGTAGGTATGTGTGTTTGTGTGAATATATACATATATATGTATATACGTGTGTGTGTGCATGTGTGTGTATATATATATAGAGAGAGAGAGAGAGAGAGAGATTTATTTTAAGGAATTGGCCCACATGATTGTGGAGACTGGCAAGTCCAAAATCCGCGGGGTACGCTGGTGGTCAGGAGATCCAGGACAGATTTGCATTTTAAGTCCAGTGGCAATTGTTGGCAGAATTCTCTCTCTTTTGGGACTAGAAGTTCTTTTTCTTAAGGTCTTCAGCTGATTGGATGAGGCCCACCCACATAGGGAGAGCAATCTGCTTAATTCAAAGTCTACTAATGTACACATCAATCCCATCTAAGAAATACCTTCACAAAAGCATCTAGACTATGCCCTGGCTGATGGTTCAGTTGGTTAGAGCATCACACTGATCCACCAAAGTTGCAGGTTTGATTCCCTGTCAGTGCACATACAAGAATCAACCAATGATACATAAATGAATGGAATAAAAAATTGTTCTCTCTCTCCATCCCTCTCTCTCTCTCAAATCAATTTTTAAAAATCTATTCTCTGTATATGAATCTGTCTCAAGAATAGTGTTTGACCAAATATCTGGGTACCGTGGCCAAGCCAACATATAAAATTAACCGTCACAGCAGCACTTAGGAAAACCCAAACCCAACACAAAACAGCTGGGCTTAGCCAACAGGCGAATCGGTTCTAATCCCACTGGCTATCACGCGCTTCCAAGCCCCCCTGCAATTTCATCCCTGGTGCCCGGCTCATCACGGGCACGTCCCAGAATGCCCTTCTCCCGCCCTGCTTCCTTCACCCCTGGAAAAACATCTACTCGTCTTTCAAAGTTCAGATCAGGTGTCACCTCTGTGACACTTTCTTTAATTCCACATCCCATCCCCTGTAAGTCTGTCCTGTTACAGCACTGGCCACACTGCGTTGCAGCTGCGTGTACATCGAACAACGGATTCACAAAGCAGCTCCGTGTCCACGATTCAATCCCTGACCTCAGCAAGTTATCCAACCTTCCTGCGCCTTAGTCTCTTCATCTCTAAGATGGAAATAAGGTCATAGTCACCATCGGTGGTTGCAGTGAGGACGCAGTGTACGTAAAACTATAAGAACAGTTTTCAGCATGTAGTAACCACGAAAAAAAGGTAGTTATTTTCATTTTTTGTGTTACTGTGGCTCTCTGATTCCTGTGTCATGTGGAAAGATTCAGTGTTTCTGGAGAGCAGGGACATCAACATACACCCCCCCACCCCAACAATGTGTGGAATAGACCAGATTGTACAGGCATTTATTGGAGTGTTCAGTATTTTATATCTGTGGAATGCTCTGGAATATCCAAACATCACAGCCCATTAAAACCTCATTACAATCTTGCGAAGTCATTTGCACCCCCATATCACGACGAGGGAACTGAGATGTAGACATTAAGTGCATTGTCCCATGTCACTCACAGCTGGCAAGTGCAAAGTCTCCAACTCCAACTCCAAGTCCAAGGTCAGGGAGAGGAAGGACAGAGATGCCAGGAATTAGGGCAAGTTTTTCTTTTCTGGCCCAGGTACCATCCTTCCCCCTTCCATCTCCTTCTTCTTACTGCCAAATTCATACCCGTACGGGACTGTGAAGCCCGCAAAGGCAATGAGACTCCCGTTCCTAGTACAGAACTGATCTGGGCGGGGGTGTGACCAGGAGAAAGCTACTAATACAAGATATCCTCGGCCGTGACTGTGGCCTCTTCTATTTTGGTCTTAACCTCTGGGAGGGGAATTTGACTGATGGCCACCACAACCAAGTTGGCAGCGTGGGCTGAGGCGCTGGCCACGCAGATCCAAAACGACTCTTCGTACTGTTCTTCCACCACAACAAAGCGAAAGAGCTTCTCCTGGAAGTTGGCGATTCGTTCTGTCAGGTCGTGAAATTTCACCGCGGCCATGAAGCTAGCGATGGCCAACGCCACGACTCCACCTGAAACCCACAGAGGGGACCCTTATTCTCAGCTGCTTTTGGCAGTTGGAATGACTTTATGGGAGGTGGCATTTTTGTGGCACCGACAACAAACTCACTTTGGGTTTTAAAACAAAAATCCTTAAGGAGACACAATATTAAATTGCTTCTCAAAGCAGCAGATAACCCACACAGTGTGAGAGGTGAGAGGTGACGGAGAAAGAGAATAAGCTTCGCATAAGGTGGCCTTTCACCCTCGACCCATCTAATTTATTCCCTGCCCAGAGCGGTTCTTTCTAGGACGCCCGCAAGGAAAAGAGTTCAATCTCTAAAGCCTTGAGGATTTGGATGCAGACCCTGAGGGCGAGGGGGAAGATCCAAGAACATCTTACCGTGCAGACCACGGTTTCTGCAGAGGGCAGACTGTTCTCTCCTGTTCAATGATCCTTTCCCCTGGCTTTGGATTAAGAAGAGACAGGAGGAAGGAAGGAAAGTAGAGGGAAAGCCGGAAGGATTCCGGACTTCATGTGTTTCCCTACCTGTTGCCTCAAACTTGGACTGCTCTCTCTCTTTGTTACTACTGCTTTGATTTTAATTAGTGTTTTTTTAAAAAAAACATTTACTAGGCTTTTTGTTTAGATTATTATATCTTCACTGAAGGAAAGCTGGACACCAGAGAAAATCATAAAGATGAAAACACAAATTTACTTTTATCCTAAAAGCCGGGTATAAACACTTTAAACCTTTTGGTATTTTTCCCTGCATTTCTTTCTCTTGAACAAAATTAGTATTTTGGTGCTCTTACCGTTTTACACTTTATTTTTCCTCTTACTTGAACATTTTTCCCATGTTGTCAAATAGTTTGTTACAGCACCACTTTAAACTGGTATATAGTATTTTATCCCAGCGACATACCTAATTAATTAAGTTTAATTAAGCGAGAACTTATTTCTGGATATCCAGATTACTATTAGAAAGTCCTGCTGTGAACTCCGTTTTGGGTATATCTTTGTGTTCTTTTCCAGTTATTTCCTTAGCAAAAAATCCATATTGGATTCGTTTTATGAAATGATATTTGTATTTTTATGCCTTTGACACTCAAGTGTTGTCAAAATGCCTTTTTTAAATACTCTGGTCAGTGGAGCTGGAGCGTGTCATCTCTCTGAGGAAAGAAATAGACAGAGATAAGCCTTTACTTAAGAAGCGGGACTGAGCACATTCACACGCTGGCACCGTGAGGGGTCAAGCAGAGAGGAACAGGACACCTGTGGCCCAGGTGCGGGCGAGCGCGTGCAGGAGAAACCCTACGGGAGGGCCACCGTCTGCAAACACAGGCAAAGAACGACAGCTGACTTACTGGCACTGCATTCTAATCTGTGACCAAACGACAGCCCCAGTTCGTCTACGTCATGCTCGTCCTGTGTAAGGTAAAGGCGGTGGAAGGTGAGTACCTTGATGCCTTGACCGCTGGACTTGGCTTTTCTGAAATGGCACTCATTTCTCACGGTTTTGTGATTTTCATTACAGGTGATTTTTTTAAAAAAGTTTATAACTAAATGTGAATTAATTTCTATGCATCGATATACTCCCGAATCAACACATAGACACACACTCTCTTACGTGCACACACACACACGTGCGCACACACGCACACCCCTTTTGTATTGGTGTTTGGCTTGGAAAATAGGTCTTGATAGTCAAAGATGAGACCAGGGACTAATGAAGAGGCAAAGGGTGTAGACTCAGCTTTCCCTGGGTTGGAATCCCACCTCTGCTACTCATTGCTGTGTGACTTTAGGCACACCTGTTGACTTCTCTGAGTTTCAGGCTCCTCATCTGTAAACATGGGTCTAATAATACTTAATTCCACCTTATATGGAGGTTTTATCAAAACAGGCAGGTAAAATCGCCAGGTTTCTTCCATCCTTTGTGAGGGTTCCCCCCAGCCTCACTGCAGCAGCAGTAGCCACTCGTGCATGCTTAGTAAAGAGGACACCTGTCCCCATCGGGAAGGTTATAGACCCAGGGAGTGAAGGCCGGGTGGGCAGGCTAATTCCCTCACGCCTTCCGCCCAGTTTCTTGAAACTCAGCCCAGTGAGCTGTGGACGAGATTCTCTCCCCCGGGGCCTTCCTTACCTGCAAGGATGTTCCACAGGCAGATGCCCCCAGGGCCATTGACTGCCTTGTAGGGGACCTGGATCATGTTGAGAATGGCAAAGCCCATGCTGACCAACGCCAGGGCCAAGGCCAGGAAGAGCAACAGCAGAATCAGCACATGGAGGCCTGTGTTGAGCTCCTTCACCAGCTGCGGGAAGACTGGGCAGAGAAGGCGTGGCCATTATTTCAGTGTCAGAGCTCAGCCCAAGTTCAGAAAGTCCAGGCTTGCCCACCAGGGAGGCTTTTATAGAGGGGTGTGAGGGCCCAGCTGCAAGTGCTGGGTTTCCGAAGACCTGGAACCTTCCTAAGAGGAAGTCATGGCTCCTAGATTTGCCACTTGTCAGTTGACCAGCAATCCTCTCTTCCTTGGGGAGAACGTAAAATCAAAATGCGTCCTGGTTGGCAATTTAAGTTGCATTGACCTCGCAACTCTGGGATCTGGTGTGAGCTGGAGCACATAAGCCCAGACGGTGTCTCTTTAGCAAAGGAGGCTGTCAAGAGAGTCAGCGAAAGAGAGCTCATTGCAAAGCTTGACTCGGGGTCTGAGGGTTGCCTTCAAGAAATCAGAAGTGGTCTCAGGCATATCTGTGCAGAGGGTAGTGGGGTGTAGCCCAGGGAAGCCTAGATCTGGCATCCAAAGATCTGGGTTCAAATCCCAGCTTTGCTCATTTGCCATAACTGTAAAATAGGACCCTCTAAACTCTGCCCTCCATATCCATCTTACAAGATTATCGAGTGGAAAAAGTGACGTGCATAGCGATGATAACAGCGCCCACTATTGGGCGCTATGGGAAGCAAGGAACATTATCCCGGATCCCTCACAATGACTCAGCAAGGCAGAGATTTCCTGTGTCCGATGGACACTCAATCTCTATGTTGCACAATATTCTTTTATTGTAGAATATTTGTATGCATGTGGCAGGACAATTTAGTGAAATATGCATTTGTATTTGTTTTCTATTTGCCATCATGTCCTAGCTGTGATAGAGTATCTTAAATATTTTCAGTTTTTGAAAAGGGTGGCTGTGATTGTTGCTGTTACTATTTTTACTCTGTGACTTGGGGAAAATCACGTGACTTCTCAGAACCTCACTTTCCTCATCGGTGCCATGGCAATAATAATACCTGCGTAGTGTATGACTTAAGGGTAATCAGTACTTACTGAGCAGAGTCATGGCCCAAGAATTTAACATTTTTTCCCCTTCAATCCTTGAGATGAAGATATTTTATTCTTCAGGGGGTCAATTTTATTAACCACCTTTCCCCACAGGCTTGGAGACATTATATCCCTTACCTTTGGGCAAGGTGAGCCTGAACTCTACATACAGGATTATAGTCTCATAGAGCATGTGGTACACAGAGCTTAGATCACTGTTTTCAGTAGTTGTAAATTAAGACTTTAAAATGAGGAAAATAAAGAACTTCTGGGCATATGCATTCTTCTGCAACTATCCCAAGGTTTCTACTGAACACCTCCTGGTCAAACTGTGGTCCACCTTGTGAACTCCAAACTCTCTGCCTCATCCTTTGATACCTCTGGCCTGCACCTTATTGTCTTCCTTCAGGAGCCAGGACTCAAAGCTTTCCTGTTTCCTCTCACTGACTCTGCACCCGACCCCCACCCCACCTTTGCTGGCTTACTGCCCCCCTTTATTCATGGAAGGTTGGTGTCTCCCAAGCCTGAGAACTAGCATTTTGGTCCTTCTCCCTTTAAAGTGTCCTTTCCACTCAGAAGTCTCCAGACATTCTGTGTATATGTCCTTAGTTTTGATCTAACCTTCCAGTCTGTGTTTCCACTTAGAGTTATCTCTACCAGGTTATCGTATCAGCTTTGGAAACTGTACCCTGGAAAATACTGTTCTTTCCAAGGGATTCTTCTGGGTGAGCCTTCTCTCTTCCTTTTCCTTCCCTTCCATCTCAGTGCCCCATAATTTTGGGTTTTTTTTTTTACACTCTCAGCCCCCTTTTATTCCAAACATGGCAGCTTATGCCTGGTTACCTACTTGTTTCATTGCAGTGCAATCCTGACAACACATGCCTAGCATAGTAATCCTCACCGAACCCTTAAAATAGGGAATAATCACCAATGCGATTGGCAAAGATCAAGAAGTTTGCTAATACACTGTGTTGATAAAGGAAGAAGGCACCACCAAACTTTGTAGGAATATTAATTCACACCCCCCCCCTTAGAGGGCAATTAGATAACATCTAAGAAATTTCACAAAAGCCCATCCACCTGTGCCCAAAGCTCGCTCTGTCTGATGTTCATTACAGTAGCAAAAGCTTGGAGAAAAACCAAAATATGAAATTGCTAGTCATGTACTCTCAGATATAAAAAAAGGTCTTAATTGGTTGTGATACACAGTTGACTTTTGAACAATATGGGTTTGAACTTCACGGGTCCACTTACACCCTGACCTTTTTCATCTTGTGAACAGATGGCATAAACTTACGGCATCAATCAATACAGTCCAGTACTGTAAACGTATTTTCTCTTCCTTGTGACTTAATATTTTCTTTAGCTTACCTTATTTTAAGAATGCAGTATGTAATACATATAACATACAAAATATGTGTTAATCGACTGTTTATGTTACCACTAAGGCCTCTGGGCACAGCAGGCTTCAGTAATTACGTTTTGGAAGGGTCAAATGCTATACACACACTTTCGACTTTGTGGGGGTGTTGGCACCTCTCCCCCTGCTGTTCTAAGGTCAGTTGTATGTATAGCTCTGGTTTTCTCTATGACTGGTTTGGAAATTGATTATCTGGGGTGAGTTTCCTTTTAACATGTTCTTTATTTTGATTTCTTTGTATGTGTGTGTGAGTTTTTAGTCTTTTATGTTATGTTTCTAATAGAGCTACTTTTTCCAATATCATCAATATCTCTGTTCCAATTTAATTGCTGGGTAAAGGCATCTATTCCTAGAGACTTTTTTCTTGACTCTACATAACATATATGAATTTCCAGCATGTACATAAAAATGATGTGAATTTGTATTTGTGTATTTGTCAATGGCCCAGCTTCTGTCTTTACAAATTTAAGAAGATACCAACCCTGGCCAGTCTCCTAAGAACTACAGTTCTGAAATATAGAAATCAAGTAATGGATACAATTCTTCATCCCCTTGATTCAGCAATATGTTGATTAATTATGATACTGTAGGATACTGTTCTCACCAGCGAACTGTGCGATTCTGAAGGCTTGCAGGATGTTGCCGTTTTTTTTGTTTTGGTTTGATTTTTTCTTCCCAGAAGACCCTGCATAAGCTGCTCATGGTGCCCTGCTCTGTTTACAGCCAGAGCAGCTCTGACGGGACACTGGATGCCAGCGGACACCGTGCCCAGTCTGGGGCCTCGCCCGAGGTCTCCCCGCCAGCAAACCTAGAAGCTGGGCTCTGCAACGCGGCAGCCTGGTCCCAGAGCCCAGGCACAGAGCCCAGTTGCTTTTTCTCAGACCATGAAGCCCTAATAGAGACAGACGCGGGAGCTGTCGCCGCGCTCCCTGAAGGCTCATCTCTGCGGGCGGTCCGCTGCACCTGCCGCTGGACTGGCCGAGGTACCCCCGTCATGTGCCATTGGCTCTGCGGTCTGGCGCTGCCGTTTCCTGGCTGCGTGACCTCAGGCAAGTTACGCAGCCTCTCCAAGCTCCAGTGGAGTTACTCCTCTGCAAAAGGGCATTGTTCATAATGCCTTCCTTACACATTTGTTACACGGCTTAAGAGACAAGCTGTGTCAAGCGCTTGTACAACGTCTGACACATGTAAGCACTCACTATTTTAGTAGTTATTTATTAATATTGGTTAACTAAAAGGAATACAAACCCTATTTCTACTGTTTCTAGCAGCCTCTATACAGGGGGAAAAGTAGGTCTCTTCTTAGTGCTGAACAAGGACCCCTGGGTTAGTGTGGACTTTGTCGATATGCCTTAGAGTGATGCAGAAGGCGAATTCCACCTTTAGACATAACCACCCTTCCAAATTTGGAAAAAGAAATAAGTGTTCTTAAGCGTCTTTCGCGCCCCAAACATACTTACTTGTGAACTGGGACTGGCGGCCCCCGAGCCCGCACTGCCGCACCTTACACCCTCGGAAGAGCCCGTAGTAAATGTCCCCAATGAATTTGACCAGCTCTGGATCGGTGGCGTTGACCAGGTCCACTCCAGTCTGACAAAGGATTTTCCCACTGAGCCAGTGGGGCACTGCCAGGGCAACGATGATCAGGACGAAGGAGGAGAAGCTGAGTAGGGATGCCAGCCCGTACCACACCTTTTTGAACCATCCAGGCATTCTAGTGGGTGCAGGTCACCCCCCAGGTGTCCGAGCTGCGGCGGGGGCTGTTGACATCTCCCGGGCACTCAGCAATCCTCAGGTCCACGGTCGGCTCTTCGAAACACACCATTTCCACATCCCAAGTCCGTGCCCGCGTCCTCTCTCAGTGCCTGCGTCCACAGCCGTGTTTACTACAAGCACATCCGGAAGTCTCTGCAGAGACGGTCTTCACCTGACAGTGTGGCGGAGTGTGTTACTGAAGGAAGTAACCCTATACCCGCCACTAGACTAATGTTTCAGCCGAGGGTTTAATTGTTCCTCGTTTCAAGTATTTAAATAACCCCGGCGTGGACCTCTTCATGCTGAGGACATCATTAGCAGGCAAAACCAGGTGGAGCTGATGATAAAGAAACACTAACGTTGTCAGAAATGCATGCAATGGAAGGAAAAAACGTGGAATCGTTAGCATTTAAATATTCCAACAATGCATGGTGTCGAATGTCGATCACTCCCACGTGTGCCCGGGCATCTGTTTCTCTGAAGTGTCAATGCTGTCAGAATCCCCAGACCTGTTATTAATACTGCGAGATGACCTCTGTGCTCCAGGCTTTTGATTGCAATGTGTACACAAGTCTTCAGGAGTCCTGGATTTATCACCGGGCGAGTCTGCCATGGGTGAAACTGCAGCATGGGTCCGCACGCGGCCGCTGGTGGCCTGGACCCCAGCACTTCCCTTCCTCCCTTCCGCGCCTGTCAGGAAGCTGACATGGCAGGCGCATTTTCTGATGTGTTAGCAAATAAGGATCACCCCGCTGGGGTCTTCCTCTCTTCCCACAGTGACGATGTCTCTTTTTCTTCCGATCTGTAGGCGCTAGGAATGAAATATTCCCTAATTTCTATCTTGTACGGTGGCTTTTAAAATTTTGATAGCCTATCACTTAAATGTCAACTTAGTATCTTGTGAGACAGGCAACAGCCACTGTCAAGAGCTTTGGGGAGCGACCTTGGGCAGAGGGGTCATGCTTTTTTTGGTCACAGAGCCTGGAGGGGTTCAGGAGGTTCCTCTCCTGCTAACCAGCAGGAGTTTCAGGACCCTCACCTGGAGAGCGCCCAGGGGGACGAGGGACGTGGGAGTGGGGATGCCAGACCCCTTCCCTGGAATTGGGGTCCGCTGCTGCAGCCTCTCCACGAGGAACGCAGAGACGAGCGCCTGCGAAGCTCCTGCAGGGCTCTGCCACCCACACAGGGCTGTCCATGTGCTGGCTCTCCCTGAATCTCAGAAACCCGCGGCTTAGGGCAGGCAGACGCTGGGCTGTTGCGGCCCCTGCTCTCCTGAGAAAACCGGAGGCCAAGGCAGCGGCTTGAGCACAGGTCTTTGGCAGGTGGTCGTTCTTTTTCATGACAACGACCTGAAAATAGCAAATATTTTCCTGGTGACAAATAAAAAATTACATATAAAAGAGCGCTTGGCAGATTAGCAAGTGGTCAAGAAGGATGTTCTTATTTGAACAGGAAGCATGCTTTGAGGGGCCGGGCATGCGCAATACGTTTGCATCGCACTTGGGGCCCAATGATGGAGGTATGTCAACTGCTAGTGTTTTTGAGGCAATGCAATTATTTTTAGAAACATTCTCTAGGAAAAGGTGGATTCTCGACAAGCCTTTGCATGACAAGTGGAGGTGTGGTTCAGTGGAGCTATCGAAGGCTTGCGTTCAAGTTCCTACTCTTCCGGGCAAGTGCCTGGGGCTCTCGTGACTCAGTTTCCTAACCCGTCATAAGATGGTTGTGCGAAGTAAAATGAGATAGCACACGCAGATCACTTAGCCCAGTGCAGGGCAGATAGAGGGCCCTACATGAAAGGTCTTCTCCCCACCCGTCTTCCAGCCGCTCCATTTCCTGGTAACAAAGCTTCTCCTAATAAAATGAGTTGCAGGATGCACCCTGTTCTCTAATGACGTGTTTCTGCCTGTCTTATCTGGCAATGGTTTATTAAGCAAACATCTGTGTCTCTGCTGGGTACAGGGCCCTGTGTTGGGGTGGAGGGTGACACAAAGATGTCTAATACGGGATCCTGCCGTCAAGTGACAGCAGTGTTAGGACAGCGGTTCTCAGTCAAGGGTGATGTTGCCCTTCCCCCACCCCAGGGGATGTTTGGCAAAACCTGGTGACATTTTTGATTGTGATGGCTGGAGGGGTAGGCGCTGCTACTGGCGTCTAGGAGGCAGAGACCAGAGGTGCTGTGGACACTCTACAATGCACGGGACAGCCCCCCGCCGCCACCCCAAGCCTGCACCAAATACCAGTGTTGTAACTGAGAAACCCTGCATTCCGGGCACAGGCCACGGGCAGAAGTTAGCTGATTTGCAAGAGAGAAAATGCCGGGCTCTCTTGGCGGGGCAGGTGGTGCCATTCGGTGGGGCTCAAATGTGGACCTGTGACCTTTAATATTCCTGTTAAGTGGGGGCTACATACAGTCCCAGAGGTCCAAGGGCAATGCTATTGGACTTTGCATCTTTAAATTTGTGTCCCTACTGGACCAAAGGCTGCTATGTACTCATATTTTTAAGCAAGCTTGTAATCATTTTCCGTGATATTTTTTGTATTAAAAGCATCAATTTGTGAAGTATAAACACTTAAAATATAGTATACTACAATTTTTGTACTGCTCGTTTGGCAATTTTTAATGCTTAAATATGCCCCAAGTAGATATTTTAAATATCACCTCCCCTACTCCCAAAATGCAAGAAGCCCGAAATGCACAATCTCTAGGAGGCCCAATGAATTGTAACAGGAATAGTGGCAAAAATAACAATATTAATCATGCTTAATTGGCATTTATTGAGCTCCTAGTACTAGCCACGCATGCTCTAAGTACTCCAGGATTAGCTTTTAGAATGCTTTCCCGAGACCGGAGGAAGCCAGGCTATTAGTATTCTCCGTTTACTGGCGAGGAGACTGAGGCACAGAGCAGTTAAGGAATTGCTTAGAGCCACACAGCTATTAAATAGGGCGGCCAGGCGGTAGCCGTCACTCTTACTTAGAGGGAAAATACACTTTGTCCGTCTTATCTCCCCAACGGTCTCATTCTCTGACGCCGAGCTGACGGCAGGGGCCACCCACACTCTCGCACACCAGCTCTCCGTCGTTCCCACCTTAGCCCTGAGCCCTGCACGCCCTGGGTACTCCGCTCCTACTGGCAGGCGGCGGGGATCGGCCCTAGCCCCCGCCGCGGTGCGGGCCGGCCGAATGGGAGGTGCGGCCAAGAGCGCCCGCCCCGGTGGCTGGCTTTCCTCGCTGAGCGTGGCCGCGCGCTAGGCGGCAGCAGCGGGCGCGACATGGGGCGCGGTCGCCCCGCGGCCCCTCTTGGCCGGGTTGGCTGGCAGGGCGGGGGCGGGGCGCGCAGGGGCGCGGCGTTCGGGCTCCGGGCGTTCAGAGCTGCGGGAGCCGAGACGGGAAAGCGGGATGGCGACGGCAGCGAGCGAGGCGCGCCGGGTGCTGGTGTACGGCGGCAGGGGCGCGCTGGGCTCCCGTTGCGTGCAGGCGTTCCGGGCCCGCAACTGGGTAACTCCGCGGGCTGGGGGCAACTCGCGGCCTGCGGGCGCTGGGGCTCGGCCTTGGGAGGGAGGCAGACACGCTGGTGATCGGGGTGCAGGGGGCCTTTCGGTGCATCCTTGGGGAGCAGTCTAGAGGAAGCTGGGGCCTCCAGTGAACCCCTCCACGTGGGTGCTTGCAAGTGCGAGCGCGAGTCTGCACGTCTATTACCCCTCCGAGTGCGTGCCCACGGCAGCCATAGATACGGGGTCTTTGCTTTGCAAGGAGGGAGGTGGGGGCTGCACCTCGGACTCTGGCTGGCCCAGAAAGTCTGGCATGACGCAGGAGAGAATTCCAGAGAAGGAGGAAGAGGAGCGCAGTTGAGGAGACAGGGAGAGAATGAGAAGGAAGGATCTGGAAATTATACTGCCTGACTTTCGTTACCGGTCCTGTTACCGTGAACTGATTGCTTAACTACCACAAACCTGTTTCCACGTCGCTAAAAGGAGGATAAAGATAGTATGTGCCTCTTGGGGGAGTTGTGAGGATTAAATGAGATCATTGGTGTCCTAGCGTGTAAATTACCTGACTCCAGGTAAAAGATGTTTAAATGTTAGCTGTTATTTATTTTACATAATGAAACGGTTCAGAAGGGGCCTCCCCAGGATGCGTCACTTTGGCATGTGAATTATTTTGAGCTGAAGGCAATAGAGACCCTTTGGGTTCAAGAGAAACTTTTACCCTTCCTTTAAAAAATTTAAATTAGGGCCCTGGCCCATAGTTATGACCAGAAATATATATTCTAGGACCTATCTGTAGAGCAGTGCAAATTTCTCATTACACAACATATGCTTTTCTTATGGCCTTCATATGACTTTTCTCACCTCTGAGCCCCCCCAGGGTGCCTTACCCCATCCTTAGCTCAGAAAGTCATATATACTTTGGTTTTTTTTTTTTTTTAAAGGTTTTATTTTTAGAGAGAGGGGAAGGAAGGGAGAAAGAGGGAGAGGAACAGCAATGTCCATGTCGATGTTCGACATCGATCGGTTTTGCCCCTCGTTCGTAATCCACGCGTGCTCCCCAACCGGGAACTAAACTGGCTGCGTTTCACTTCGCAGTCCAATGCCTGCCCAACTCGGACACCCCGGTCAGAGCCACATATACTTCATTTTAACTTTCTGTCTCTGACCTCTCATGTATGTGGTGTTCTCATGTTTACATATGTAATTAAATTTGGTTATTTTCTCTTGTTAATCTGTCTCATGTTAATTTAATTATTAGACCAGCTGGAAGTACCTATGGGGGTAGAGGAATGTTTCTTCCCCTTCCCCTGTTATTTATAAATGTATTGATCTGCACCACGTTCCTTTAGCCTCCATTGGACCTGGTATTGGTGCCGTCTTTGTTTTGTAGATTTTCAGCTACAGGCTCTCACTCCCTGAAGGCAGCAACTAGGAACTGAGGCGGTCACAGGCCAGGAACCCCAACCCCCAGCCTCCCAGCAGGGATCAGCGCCTTCCTCCCTGGTGGAGACTCCTCTGGTGCCTGCCTGCTATGGCTGTCACTTGCGCTAAGGCTCTGGGGCGTTTTCCTGAGGGTTCAGTTAGCAGCAGGGCAGCCCGTGTCACGGTGCCCTTGGGACCCGAGAGAGAGGGTCCCAGGGTTTTCTTCTGGCTCAGAATCTGGTATAGGAATATGCCTCTAAGGGATTCTAAACACACCACCCCCTTCCTGCCATACACCTGCTCTGGAACCTAGGCAGTCTCCTGAGATGGAAGGTGGTAACAACTGTGACATTCAGGAGTTCCGGCCAAGGACCAGGCACTGTGTTCCTAAAAACCAGATCTCTTACGTTGGCTTAATTTCTCTTACTCTACGCAACAACTTTAATGCAGTACTCCTGTTGGCATGCGCCTGTTACATTGCGAACACTGCTTCCCGACCCCCTTCTGGGGGTGGTACTTTGCTTTCCCTTTGATTTGGAAGTGGAACCTGGTGACTGACCTTTGACTCTGTCCCCACCCCCTTCATTCCTGGGAGCTCTGGGATGGAAACTTTTCTTTGTATTTGCCACTGGTTGGCCACAGAAGTAGTGTTCTTGAATGGATACTGTGTTCTTCAAAGCTTATCTCTGGGGCCGTCAGGCCCCGGTGCTTTGTGAGTAAGAACCGTGCATCACCTGCGCTGGCAGCCTGGCAGCCGCAGCTGCCTCTGTTTCAGTTACTTCTCACACTAACCCTCCTAACTGCTCACCCCCACTTCCCAGGTCCAGACCCTCTGCAGAGCTTGAGGCTGAGAAAGCCCCTCTAGGGCAGAGCCGGGATTCAAACGCCCATCTGCCTGGTTCCCAAACCCAAAGCCGTCCCTCTGTGCTCCACGCAGGGGTGCAGAACTCTAGTCCTCCCTGGGCCAACCCCCACCTGCTGTCTGTTTTTGTACAACCCCAGAGCTAAGACTGGCTTCCCAATGTTAAATCGTTAAAAAGCGATCAGCAGAAGAAGAACGTCTTGTGACATGTGAAAAGTGGAGGCAATTCCTGTTTCAGCTCCTGAAGTTTTGTTGGACCAGAGCCGCGCTGGCTCGTTCCCAGTGGTCAATGGCTGCTCTCCTGTTACGACGGCAGAGTAGTTGCAACAGAGACTGTAGGGCCAGCAAAGCCTAAAATATTTCCCATCTGGCCCTTTACAGAAAAAGTTTGCAGACCCTGGTTTTGGCGGGGGGTCGGGGGGTCTCTGGAAGTGCAGAGTTCGGCTTTGAGTGACAGTGGAAGGAGAGGAAAATGAGGAGTTGGGAGGTGGAATGGGCTGGGCCGGCTGGGCCGGGGAGGGTGGGCTGGCTCAGGCCGAACCTCCCTGTGTGCGAGAGGGCGAGAGGTCGAGAGGTCGGCAGCTGGGTCCTTTCTCTAGAGAGTTCTCCTTTAAGCCTCTCAGCTGCCTCCACTGCCCCCCTTCCTGGGCATGGATCTTTAAAGGAATAACAACGTGCTGTCTCCTGACCAGAGCTGTTCCCTTCACTCTTCCAGTGGGTGGCCAGCATCGACGTGGTGGAGAACGAAGAGGCCAGTGCCAGCGTCGTCGTGCGAATGACAGACTCGTTCACTGAGCAGGCTGACCAGGTAATTCGGAAACCCCCCACGGAGCCCGTTCTGGGGGGAGCCCTCAGAGGACACGTGCCCTGGCGGGGTCGGCTGCCTTTTTACAGGTATTGTTTCTGTAATGAGAGCCATGGGTACCCACTGAGGGAAATTTGGAGAAAGTGGGAAAAAATACAATGAAGATAAATTATCCATAATCTGTTTCTAGTTAGAAGACTGTATTTTGGCCCATTTTCTTGCCTTTCCTACGGATACTAGATGTTATTAGCATTACAGGTTGAGATGATCTTGTATTTTATATTTGAGGATCAGATTTTTAAAAATATAAATAAAATTTAATTTTAGTACTTCTCCAGATCACTTAAAAAAAAAAAAAACCCTCTGTGTCAGCATGTAATTTTTAATTTTGTGGATTGGCCAGTTTTCTTAGTTTCCACCTGTTGTACATTTAACTTTTTTTTTCCTGCAAATTTTAAATTTTTACCGTGAACGAGAATACTGTGGCGAACGTCTCTTTCTCCGTCTTTGATTTTGTATTTAGAATACATTCTACAAAGGGGAGTTCCCTAGTTCAAAGAAGAATACTAACAAAACAGGTTATTTTGAATGATAAAATGACAGGCTTATCATAAAACAAGAAACTAAACTGAGTCAGTGGTGCAGTACCTGGCCACCCCGGGGTGGGGGTGTCCCTTCCCAGAGGGCAGCGCTGTGAACAGCTGGATGGGTGGACGGCTCCCTGTCCATAGCTGAGATGCTGAGTGGTCCCCCCAGGCTGCCTGAGGATGTGCTTTATGGGGTTCTCCAGCCAGCGGTCCAGCCACATTCCCCGGGAAATGCCACCTTGCTGTAATGGGACACGTTCACACAAGCACTCATTGAGGCAGGCGGGCAGGGGGTGGCAGCCAGCCCCATTTATGGCTGAGGGGACTCAGTGTCAGACACTAGGTGACACGCCCAGCAAGGCAGCTGGAGGTGGAGTCGGGAGTGGCTCTCACGTGAGACTTGTTAACAGCTTATTAACCACCGTCACTGAGACTGGTGTCTGTTTTTGTTTAGTGTGTTCTCCCTAGTAATCTGAACACGGTTGGGGGCCCTATGTTTTGTGGTCCTTAGCTAGTTTTTATAACCCATTTAAAAATTTGTTTAAAGTGATGCATGTGTGATGTAGGCCTACAGTAAAACCAAAGGAAGGGGGCGATCATGTCTAGTCCCACTGTGCAGTGAAATCGTTGTGCGATTTCCTTCCAGTCCGTTTCTGCAAACATGCATGTGTATAAATTTAAAAATTAAAAATACCGCAAATCGTCATGAGCATTCTGTCCTGCTCACTTACGCTTTCTAAAGCGTCTGCTTGACATAGGTTAGACTATAAAAGCAGCTACCTTATTCCAGAAGGTAGATTTCTGTTGTTCTTTTCATATGGTCCTAATGTTTTCCATACTATTGGCCTTAATGGGCTTAATAGTAAAACCTGACAGGGCTTCTTCATTATGTGTCAGGCACCGTTCTAAGTGCTTTATTCACATTATCTTGCCCAGCACAAAGTTTCTAATTCATCTTTCTTTTAGAAATAGGGAGTCTGAGGCACAGAAAGGCCCTGGTATTTGCTCAAGGTCAGACAGGTGGTGGGCGGCTCAGCCAGGCGGTGGGGGTTGGACGTCTACTCCCCTAACAGTACGCTAAGCTGCCTCACGGCAAGACAGCTCCATGTGAATAAAGTAACAAAAGCTATAATTAAATAAATGCCAGGGAGCCTTGGGCTCTGAGAGCAGCTTGTCCGGTGCGGTTCCTGCAGTCAGTGTCTCTGCTGCTTGTTAGTTACAGGTTCTGAAGTCTGTGTGCCTTTCTGAATGTGAAGTCCCTGTCTGAGACTTGACTATACACATAGTTTCAAACTCTCTCTTTTTTTTAAAGATTTTATTTATTTTTAGAGAGGGAAAGTGGGGGAGAAAGAGAGGGAGAGAAACATCAGTATGTGGTTGCCTCTGCTGTGCCCCTTACTGGGGACCTGGTCCACAGCGCAGGCATGTGCCCTGACTGGGAATCGAACTGGTGACCGTTTGGTTTGCAGGCCGGCGCTCAGTCCACTGAGCTGCACGAGCCAGGGCTAAATTCTACCTTCTTCTACCGCCCGCCTCCTCTCCCACCCAAAGTTAAGAATTTCTGGACAACAGCATGCCATCCAGTTTTTGTTGATAAAGCTCTAAGAGAGGAAATTCAACCCTAATACATGTAAAATTGGTCCCCAGGGGAGGACTTCATTAATGACAGTGAAGAGATGCAGAAATGAGGGAGGCGTGAAATATATAGAAAACTGTTGGGCAGAAAGCAAAATTCAAGTGGGAGGAATTTCAAAGTGCAGCGATGTAGAAAAACAAAACAATATGTCCAACAGGTGGATTGTTGCTGCGGGCAGCCTTGCTTTCCTGCACAGTAGAACGTTCCGAGGTACAGACGTCAGGGCTGATGACAGCAGCTGGGGCTGGGCTCCTGGCAACAGCACAGGGCTTAAGGATGAAGGGAGGGGCCAGCCAGGAAACCGGGGTAACAGGAAGGAGGTCAACGGAAGGTAAGTCAGGATTGGGTGAGATGCTCATGAATGGAGGAAACTTCAGGAATTTCTTAAAAGGAAAGTGTTAGGTGTGGGCTGAAGGGAGAAGATAGGTTGGTTTCCATTGCCAAAGCATTCTCTTTGGAAGAGTCGTCAGAGGCCTCAGGCATTGCCAGGCAAAGAGGGCGGGGCCGGAGCCGGCGTTGCTGCAGAGCCGGGTCTGCTGCCTTGTGATCAGTCTTCAGAGGCTGGTGTAAGGAAACATTCGGGGAAATGGGGAAAAGGGTCATGGTGGCGGCCAGAATGGCCCCTTGCCAGACTTGTCTTGAATGTTTTCAACACTTTAAAAACTTTAGTCACCCCTGGTGCGATTCCGTCCTGCATGTCTGTTCTGCAGAACAGAAGTCGTTTACCTCCGTCCGCCTTCTCTCCCACCCAAGTGCGTGCTACCACCCCATGGAAGATTTGATGGACATGGATATGAGCCCTCTGAGGCCCCAGAACTACCTTTTCGGTTGTGAGCTCAAAGCCGACAAAGATGATCACTTTAAGGTGGATAATGATGAAAATGAGCACCAATTATCTTTACGAACAGTCAGTTTAGGGGCTGGTACAAAGGATGAATTGTACATTGTTGAAGCAGAGGCAATGAATTATGAAGGCAGTCCAATTAAAGTAACACTGGCAACTTTGAAAATGTCTGTACAGCCAACGGTTTCTCTTGGTGGCTTTGAAATAACACCACCTGTGGTCTTACGGTTGAAGTGTGGTTCAGGGCCTGTGCGTATTAGTGGACAGCACTTAGTAGCTGTGGAGGAAGGTGCAGAGTCAGAAGATGAAGAGGAGGAGGATGTGAAACTCCTAAGTGGGTCTGGGAAGCCTTCTGCCCCTGGAGGTGGTAGCAAGTTTCCACAGAAAAAAGGAAAACTTGCTGCTGATGAAGAAGATGAAGATGACGATGAGGACGACAATGATGATGAAGATGATGATGATTTTGAGGATGAGGAAGCTGAAGAAAAAGCTCTAGTAAAGAAATCTATACGAGATACCCCAGCCAAAAATGCACAAAAATCAAACCAGAATGGAAAAGACTCAAAACCATCAACACCAAGAGCAAAAGGTCAAGAATCCTTCAAAAAACAGGAAAAAACTCCTAAAACACCAAAAGGACCTAGTTCTGTAGAAGACATTAAAGCAAAAATGCAAGGCTATAAAGAAAAGGTGGCTCACGTCCCAAAGTGGAAGCCAAGTTCATCAATTACGTGAAGAACTGCTTCGGGATGACTGACTGGGAGGCTATTCAAGATCCCTGGCAGCGGAGGGAGTCTCTTCAAGAAAAGAGTTTAAACAGTTTGTTAAAATTTTCTGTCTTACTTCATTTCTGTAACAGTTGATATCTGGCTGTCCTTTTTATAATGCAGAGTGAGAACTTTCCTTACTGTGTCTGATAAATGTTGTCCAGGTTCCATTGCCAAGAATGTGTTGTCCAAAATGCCTGTTTAGTTTTTAAAGATGGAGCTCCACCCTTTGCTTGGTTCTAAGTATGTGTGGAATGTTAGGATAGAACATAGTAGTAGCCGTGGTCAGACAAATGGAAATGGTGGGGAGACGAAAATATACATGTGAAATAAACTCAGTATTTTAATTAAAAAAAAAAAAACTTGAGTCAAACAGAAGTAGATAAATAAAATGAACCCCCATGTACTTAGTATTTTAAATCACAGGTTTATTTTTTAAAAAACACGAATTATTTTGACATATAAGCAAAATTCAAATAATATAATTATTGAACACTTTGGTATGAAATTAATAATAAGAGAAAAAATGCAAACCAACCAAAAGGTAAAAAGTTTTTAACAGTAATACTGTGTATAACCATCTTCTACTCAAGTGACCATGCAGGCTGATAGTAATTTTCCTTTGTGATTTTTAAGACAGCCTTTCATTGGAGCACCAAAGTTTTATCTTCCTTTCTAAAAGGTTGGAATCCTTTCACTGTATTTACAAATATTCTTCTCAGTACTTTCAGTCTGATGAAGCAGGCATCTAGCAATATTCTTATCATTAAAAAAGGAAGTGCCTTCATATTTCCCATAAATTAAAAATGTTCTATTCTAAGCAAAAATAAAAAGATAAACACACTTGAGGAGAGCTCTCTCACAAATAATTGTTTCACAAAAGTGTTGCTGTAAACAAGATCACTTTGACAGCCAGAGATACTGATATTTTCATCCATTGAAAAATTTAAAGTTACAAGTATAGATACATAGCGTATGTATGGCCAAAAGGCAAATGGTTATGAAAGAATCAACTAATAACAATTATTTATAAATCTGCTTTGTCAAAATGTGCTTCTATTCTCTACAGTTTTTAAAGTTCATCAGAAAATTTAAAACTGTAGAGATTTAAAAAACCTGAACCTACTCTAAAGTAACTACAAACTAGAATGGTTGACACTGTAGTTTTGACATTAGTTAAAAATTCTGAATTATCTGAGCAATCAGTATAAACAGCCTCGATTTTTGAAATAGAAAAAAAATTTAATTCTGTAAACATTAAAGAGCTACCTGCAAAAAATTATATATGCCATCGTCTAGTTGTGTTTACTGAGAATTCTTTTTTTAGTTGTTTGTTTTCCATGTTTCAAACATCATCTAATTCAATGAGAGACACGTCTTAGTTCTCCCTAACAGGCATCTCTGCAGACGAAGCGGCTGTAATCAGCGCGCCGGCTTTGGCTGAAGTTGTTATTTTGACCTTTGTACAGCCCTCCTGCTAACAGACCCCAGCCAGTTCTTCTGCAGTGAGGGGACGTTATTTGCGTGGTGGTCACAGTTCTGTCCAGTCATGTGAAATAAATGAGACAATCTGTTCTATCTTGGCCGCATCTCTTTGATTATAAGGAACACACAGCTTTACAAATGCTTTAAACCTCATTCCGGCAACGTTTTCATCTTTCATTCCAGTTTCAAGTTTGAAATATTTAAAAGCTGAAAATACTTCAGATAGTTATTTTGTTGAAAGAAAAGTTTGGTTTTTTTAAAGACACCATAGCTTTGATGTGATGTTTAATACCCTCAGTTTTAAAATCTGAACTTTGAACAAAGAACTGTGGTTTAGGAGACCTTGTTGGGGAGGGATGGGCTAATTTTAGTAGTCATTACAATAATTGAGACACTGGGAATTTTTATTTTATAAATTAGGGAGAAAAGAGGCTTTTAATATTCTATTTTTCCTTTTTGAAGTCTTCTCCAGTATTGTATTCCTCTATACAAACTACATTCAAGTAACTACCTTAAAAACAAACCTATATTGAATATTTAAAAACCAGTTGAAAAGTTCATTGACTTAAAATCAGCTTATTTGAATGGACAGTGATTTCTCCCTACAGAAGGACCCTGTGGGTGACAAGCTGCCCATGTTTTGTGTCATTTTCTAATGATTAAAAACCAAAAGTATAAAGTACCAATTAGGGCAGAGCTAATGACTTCTCCAGTTTTACATTAAACTTTGAAAAAAAGTCATAAATATCTCTTAAGTGGCTCCCACACTATTGTATCCCACACAATAGTGGCTCTACACACTATTATTTAGGTAAGTGAGCTACATGGATGTAACAGTAAGTGGTTTGGCTGTTTATAAAGAAACTGTACAATAAGTTCTCACTTAACATTGTCAATAAGTTGTTGGAACTGCCACAAAACAATGAAACAGTATTACAGGAGGCTAATTGATATAAACAAGAGTAAAGATCCAACAACATCTTATCAACACTACAACAAAACGATGCTTAACAAAACCCGGTTATTCGAGGACCTGCTGTGCATTTTCCTAAATCTCCTCTGAGGAACACGAGACTGTTTTTCACCAGATTCGTGTACTTTCTCCTCTGCCAATCCTCCCCCGCCCCCACCATTTCCATCAAGTGCTCTTCCATGAAAATTAACTTTTATACCTAGTTTAACAGTATATGCCTTTCTGTGAAATGGTATCCTGTACACTGTTAGTATTTTCCAAATACAGTTATTCTAACACCAAGGCTACTTAATAACTTCTCTCTACTTCACATATACATGTGACATTGGGAACCTGAATTTCCTTTTAGTTTTGTTTTCATAAACCTTTTCTAAATATCAGTTCCTTGAGCCCTGGCCGGGTGGCTCAGTTGGTTGGAGCATCGGCCGGTACACCAAAAAGATGGTGGGTTCGATTCCCAGTCAGGGCACGTACCTAGGTTGCAGGTTCAACACCCCCGTCGGGGCGTGTACAGGAGGCAACCAGTCGATGTTTCTCACATTGCTGTTTCTTTCTCTCAAAATCAATTAAAAAAAAAAATATTCTCAGGTGAGGATTTAAGAAAAAATATTTTAAATATAAATTCCTTGAAATCCATTTAGGCAATGAAATAGATAAATTATACTAAACAGCATCTAGAATCAAAGAAACATTCTGAGAGACCGGGCTTTCAAAATACTTCTTTATTTTTTTTGTATTCATATTTCACTTAGAGTATAGGCAGACATGTAAAGGTTTTTCATTCAGGTTTGGCTCAGTGACAGTGAAAACATACAACACTCAAATACTATTAGGCAAAAGCAGCCCCGCAAGGATATGTGTCCACATAGGTCAGTCTGCAAAGGAGAACTATTTTAATTATCCTGTAGTATATCTCACCAAAAAAACCTTTTGAAATTGTTTTTACTGTAGGGTCTGTGGCATCCTCCCAAAGGTTCTGAAGATCTTGTATGTGTCCATGAGATGTCATCATTTTATTGTAAATGCAGGGATGATAAGGAGTTTTACCTTCCCCCGAGAAAAACACATGGTATTGTGGTACTATGCCCATTTTAGTGGCACAGAGACCCATGAAGACATCGTCTATGTAAAGACTAGAGTTAAGTGTCTGCGAGGCCTCGTAGACTCTGGCAGCTACATCGTTAGAGATCACGTAGGCAGCTCCAGCAGTATAGTCAGGGTAAGCTGGCCACTGGTACATTTCAGAGGAGACATAGTATTTGCTGCGTTTGTCCCGAACGGGCGGTGCACCACGGTGAATATGACCAACCCAAAAGTCTTGAACACTAACTTGTTGTAAACTTTGGAGGTATTCAATAAGATTTGGCATGTGATAAAGATGTCATCATCAGCAGTCATAAGGAATTTGGCATGTGGACAAAAGGTATTTGCCCAACTGAACTGCAAAAGTAATTTAAGAGTAAGATTATAGAAAGAATTGGCAAAGTCTTGCTGAATTATATCATTGTACACTAGGTCTTCCTGAAACAGTTTCCATTGCAGGTCTTCTCTTGTCTGTGGATTAGAAGGTGTTCCTAAGGCAAACAGAGTCTTGATGTTGGCATTAAGTTGAGACTGAACATACTTCTCATTGCCCCACGTTTTCCTAATTGCAGAACGTTGGTTGTAGTTTTCAGGAGCAGTCTTTACAAACAGTAAAAGGAGGACGTCTTGTGCTTGACACTTCTCCTTGTGGTTAATCAAGTATTGGTAGCAAGTAGCCCCATCCTTGCTGTGCTTAAGAGATAGGCTCTCATTCACAAACTCATAGTTATTTATGAGGTATCTGTAAGAGTAGGACTTTATGTGGCTCACAATGTGATTATCAAATGGTTCCCAAAAAACGATGAGGCTCAGTATAAAACAAGCGGCACATAACTGGCTAAACTGCCATTTTTTCACTCTTCTGCTACCAACAAACATTCTGATGTCCATTTTTATTTAGAATCCGTGTTAAATGGGCATTTGCTTCTTTAAGACCATAGAACTTTACATTCTATAGAAAGATGTCCATCTTAAGATAGGTTGGTCATTCAAAATGTAAAAGGAGCTTCTTATTTCACAGAATATTTTCTTTTAAAACGATTTTTGCTGAGATTGCAAAAGAACTGAACACACTGCAGAACGAGGCTCCTGGCACATGCAGATGCCCTCACATTGGCATCCTTCATGGAGCCTGGCAACAGGCTTCATGCGGGTTGCCACGTACTTCCTTTTGTGAATGTGAAGGGTAACTGTGGTCGGCCACAGGTGCGATGCTGAGAAGGCTTCAGTGATGTTTCCAACGTAGACCCCTTACCAGGGGAAGACGGTAAGATTGATGATCCAGTGCAGCCTGGAACCGACCAGTCCGAGCACAGCTCCTTAAACTCCCAAATCAGAGGTCTCTTCCTGACATCAGAGCGAAAGTCGATGGTCTCAAGAAAAAGCCTTGCCCACTTTCTCTTGGCCTTGGGCGAGGACTGGGCAGTCAGCGCTGGATGGGCCCATGTAGTCAGTATGGACCAACATTTTGCCATTTGCCACTGACTTTTTTTTTTTTTTTTGCTTTAAACAATAATTTCTCTTTGGTACTTTCTTTTAGAGTTGCAGTTAAAGGGATTTTTTCTTTCTTTCTTTCTTTCTTTCTTTCTTTCTTTCTTTTCTTTCTTTTCTTTCTTTTCTTTCTTTTCTTTCTTTCTTTCTTTCTTTCTTTCTTTCTTTCTTTCTTTTCTTTCTTTTTGTATTAAGGAAGAATTGAATTACCTCAGACTATGAATCTGTGATTGGCAAAGAAAAGTCTGGAAGGATATATGCCGGAAGTTTAGCTGCAGGCATTGAAGCTCTAGGTGACTTTTTAAACCATTTTCTACTTTTAAAAAAAGTCTTTCCAAGGATGCTTATGGTCCCACCCTTTAGAATGTTCAAAAGAAGATTCTAGATTGCTTTATAAAATCACATGGAAATGTAGATAGGTTTCACTATCCAAAATGGTTATTGTCAATTGGCCCTACATCTAGTTTTCAAAGTGTTCCTTGCCAGAGAACTGTTGATTGTCTTAAAAGAAAGTGAAAAATAAACTGAAGTATCTGTAAAGCCGTCGGCCTGTTTAGGCTTACCAGACGATTTATGCATCTTTTCATCCTTTCTGTTGAAGGTGACTGCTGAGGTTGGAAAACTCTTGGGCGAAGAGAAGGTGGACGCAATCCTTTGTGTGGCTGGAGGATGGGCTGGGGGCAATGCCAAGTCCAAGTGTGAGTCCTTTTCTGAGTTAATCATTCATCCCGCTCTGCTCTTTGTCTGATGGGCAGGGGTGGACCTGTAACGTGTGCCAGGCCAGACGTTTTCCTGTGTGTCTCCCACTCCTTAGAGTAGCTCTGTGAAGCAGAAACGAACGCCCCATTTTACAGAAGAAGAAAACACTCCCTATAGAGGGAATTAGGGGAGGGGGGCATGGAGTTTGAAGTTGAGAGGCAGAATGAAATCAGCATTATTCCCGCCCCAGCCTTACAGGGCTTATTACTGGGAATTGGGGGATGTGTATGAAATGGAGAGTTCATTCTGCAGGTCAAAAGGACTCAGAATTGAGCTTTTATTAATGCTGAGTACATTTGCCAAGTTTTTATTATGAGCATTTCCACATACACAGAAAAGCCAAAAGAAGAGTCCAGTAAACAGCTGTCCCCCTCCATCTACAATAGATTCGCAACTACTCGCAGTTCGCTACACTGGCACTCCCTGGCTTGCTTGCGTGTGTGCCGTGTGTGTATTTTTTAACCACTTGCAAGTAAGTTGACCCTTGGCCGATTCCAGCACGCGTCCCCAAAGAGGAAGCTCCTTTTCCTACCTTATCAAAATGCCATTATCCTGTCAAAGAAGGCTAATAGAAATTCTGTAAGATTAGTCACACCCAACTCTTAGGCAGTTTCCCCAGTGTAGTCCCTGTCTTTTATAGGTGTTGTTTTTTTCTCCCTAAACATATTCGAGTCACGGTTTATGCCTCATTTTGTTGTCGTTTTTAGTCTCTTAGTCCAGAATTGGTTTTTCCTCTGATAGACTCGGTGAGTGGGCCGTTTTCCTATAGAATGTCCTACGTATGATTGTGTCTCCTCCCTCTTCTCTTGAGGTATCATTTACCTCGTTCCTCCATCCCTAGTATTTCCTGTGGCCTAGGATTTAGGTCTGGGGACTTGCTTAGATTCGGGTTAACAGCTTTGGAGGCGAGCATTCTTCCTGAGTGAGGTGCACCCATACGGATCACGGGGGACTCAGCGTGTCGGATGGCCCTGCCCGCCCAGAGCGACGCTCGGCTAAGGTGGTAGTCGAGGGGCCCCCCGCTGCAAAGGCCCGTTTTCCTGTCTGCAATTAGTAAGCGGCCTGTGGGGAGGCGCTTTGCATTGTGTGTGACGGTCCTCTTCCTGGGCACCCTGAGAATCCCGTATTTCTAAAACCTACGGGTTTTCAGCATCCGTTGATAATCCCCGCCTGAATCAGTTATTCCACAGGGATATAACTGACTATTTGGAAAATAGTAGTTCTCTAATTCTGGCATGTCTTCTACCTTTCTTAGTTGAAGCCGTATAAAAAGGAGTCGATTTTCTGTGAACTGCACTTGAACGTGAGACTGGTATTTTGTGGGGGGATCGGCTCAGCTGAACACCCCGACAGCCTTTTGTGTATTTTGGGAACAGGAAGTGGTAAATGTCGGTCCATCAATTTTTTTTTTTCTAGTCCTTCTTAGCAGGAGAGTGCAGTGCCCTGGTTACCACTGACTGAAGACCCCTCCGGGTATATTGGGAGGCCTTTCTTCCTGAATTGTGGAGGCAGTGTCTCTGGGGTCTTTGTGCTTTATAAAAGGGGGCGGGGGACAGCTGTTCAGCCGCCAAAGTTACAGGTGTTACCACTTGTTTCCTCTTCCATTTTTAGCAAGGCCCAAGCGTTAAAATAAGTGAAATGGCTGTCATTCCAGCTTTCTCTTAAAGGGCCTCTAAAGCCGGCATTACACTTGCGGCCATAAAAAATGTAGCTCTGTAAAAACTCTCTGCATGTGGCTGTGGTTCCTCAGCTTTTATCACAGGTAAAATCTGACATAGACATACATGTTCTTATTACAAATCTAATGCCCTTCCTAAGGCAAAACAGTCTTTGAATAAAAGCCAGTCCCGGATACCTGTTAACAGTCTTCATTCATTGGCTAGAATGTTACCAGTTTACAGTGAGGAAGCTGAGACTCCAGCGATCAGGTGGCCTGGGTTCGAACCTGCATCTCTGACCACAGAGCCCTGGGCTGCTGGTCCTAGGCCTTGTAGGCAGGGACGGGGGGAGGCCGGTGCTCCCGCGACTGTCAGCGCCATGCGTTGAGCCTACCTTTCCGTTTCTCCACTGCACGGGCTGAGCCGGCCTGTTGTTTTCCCCGCTCAGCTCTCTTTAAAAACTGTGACCTGATGTGGAAGCAGAGCATGTGGACATCGACCATCTCCAGCCACCTGGCCACCAAGCACCTCAAGGAAGGAGGCCTCCTGACGTTGGCTGGGGCCAAGGCCGCCCTGGATGGGACCCCAGGTAAGCGTTCACGTCCCCGTCTGTGAGATGGGAGTGCTCACACTTGCTCACCGGGGCTGCTGGGTGCTTCCATGAGATGAGGAACATTGAACGAAGCCCTTTACCTTCTGAGGTGCTTGCTTTGGGTGGATTTTGCTTCCTTGAGGCCTGAATCTTCTTAGGAGAAGGACTCCTGATTCTTTTATTTGCATTGTCCTTATGGAAAGGAGTGTTGTAATCTGGTACCCCTCCCTCCATTTGGTTTATTTATCCGCGATCCACTCAGGGAAGGAACGGTGGCGTAGCAGAAATGAATTGCCTGATACCCATCTATCACCACCATCCAACTGTGTTCATTGTGCGTCCCGGGGAGGCAGCTCGGCAACTGTTCCAGAGCGAGCGAGAGAAGCTGGGGTGGACTCCTCATCCTAGCTGTGTGGCCTTGAACAAATTATATATCTATTTGACCAAGTTTCTGCTGTAGTTTCTTTCATTGTAACATGTGAGAGTAGCATCTACCTTGAGGAGCAACTGCAAAGCATCGGTGGTGTTAATATGCAGGAAGTGCCCAGCGTGTGGTGAGTCTTCTTGTGAGTCACTTCATTTCACAGGTATTCTCATTTAATCCCGGGGGTCGATGTCATTATTAATCTTTTTCAGTTTATAGGGAAGGAAACTAAGGCCTAAGAGTGGTTAACTCACTTGTCTGGGTTCCTGCAATAAGGAGGTTGTCATCTTACTTTGAGCCAGAACCCCGATCATTTCTAAATTCTGTGCTTTTCCATTATGTCATGCAGGTCCAGGTTTCCTTTGCATTTTTTCACCCCCTGTGTTAGTTTGCTAGGGCTGCCGTAACAAAGTACCACGGGCTGTGTTAACAGCAGAAATTTGTCTGATAAGTCTAGAGGCTGGATGTTCAAGATCAAAGTGTCAGCAGGGTTGATTTCTTGATTCCTTTCTGGCGCCTCTCTCCTTGGCTTTGCTGACGGCTGTGTTCTCCTTTGTCCTCATGCGATCCTCCCTCTGTGCCTGCCTGTGTCCCAGTCTCCCCTTGTAACGACACCAGTCACACTATCTTAGGACCCACACTAAGGACCACATTTTAACTTAACTACCTCTTTGAAGAGCCCATCTCCAAATACAGTCACATTTTGAAGTAGGGAGAGTTAGGACTTCAACATACAAATTGTTTGGGGTGGGAACACAATTCAATCCCTAATACTCCCTTTCAGGTGGGATTAAAGGAATTTAAGTGGGATTTGGGGGTACAGCACAAAGACAGAAAGGGTCTGCCTCCACTACCTAAGTCAAACTCCTCTTTAATAAGACGGGGATTGTTTTTTGGCCTCTTGTGCGTGCTAGAGACCTTGAGCACCTTTGTCCGTTTGAAAGTAACCCATGGAACTATGAGGCTCTTACAAATCAACAGTTTCTTGCCTCTCATTTTCTTATTACATTTCTCAGAGCATCTGATCTTACAAGTCTGTGGCCATTGCAGTCATGAAATGTCATGGGTAAATGTCATGTTAGTTTGGTTGAGTTCTGATTTTTATTAAAGGTGACAGAGAGCAGAGGCACTAGAAAGTAAATAGAGAAATGAGTGATAGCTTGACATTTAAAAAACAAAAAACAGGACTGAAAGACTAATTTTTCTGAAGGACAAAAGAGTCTCCTACTTCCCTTTGCTTTGTAACTCTCTTTCTTTGTTTATAGTTCTGGATACTCGTTGAGACTGCAGGCTCTGGGACTGTAGAGGTTGTGTTTCTGTTGTGATTTTGCCACTTACTGTGGAGTATTTGGCAAGTTACTTAACCTCTCTGAGCCTCAGTTTTCTCGTCTGTGAAATGGGGATAAATAATAAAAATCCTTTATAGGGTGGTTGTGGCTTGCAAACATCTTAATGGATGTAAATGGCTTAGAAAGGTTTGACTGGGAGTGAATTGTAAACGTGAACCTGTCTTACTACTTACCCCAGGCGTACTTTTGCTCTGGAGGAAGTAGTAAGATGGGTTCACATTTACAATTCTGGGGTAACTACTCTGCTTCAGATGTTAATGAGTATGTTGTTCATCTTTAAGTTCGTAGTTAAATATTGTTAAACTTATTGGAGTCATGGAATCTTTCAACTTTGATGCAGACCCCAGAAGAATCTGGGGAAATCTATGACTAATTTGAAAGTAAATAATGAAGAGGCTTAGTAGCCTTTCAAACCCCCAAAAAGTTGTTCAAAAATGGAAAGATATTTTTCACTTGGAAAGATACTGAGAAAACCCGCACGGTCTTATTTCCAAGGTTGTATTTGTAGATTATCTAGTGGAGGATAAATGGTATTAAAATGATAGTGAGCCCTTCTGTTTTGCTGTATTGGGAAATCAGTCTTGAGGGACCACCTCAATCATTTTATAATTGGGAAGAAAGTATTATCTTCTTCCAAATGCTTAAAAAAAATTTCTTGTAAATGATCTCCTTACCTGCATTGTGTAGAACTCTGCAGAAGTAAACCCTTAGGTGGCTGCTTGCTCGCGTCCCTCTCTGCCAGCTGCCTGCCTGCTTGCTGTTTGAATGGAGTGAAGCGTGAGTTCTCTGGGGATGGGCTGGGTGAGCGGAACCTTGGGCCGGTTTTGGTTAATCCCTGCAGAGTTTGTTCGATCTTCCCACCACTGTGGGCCCCTGTTCCTGATCAAACAGAGAACCCACGGGTGGTGAAATACTCTGCTTGTGCTTCTGCATAATATTTGTTTGAGACCTTGACCTGCCCTTGCAATTCTGGTGGCCGTGGAAGCGGTTTAGCGATTCGTTCCCCGGCTGGGCTGCGGTCCCCACCCCTCTCTGGACCGGTGATGCCTAATCAGCTGTTATACTTTAAAGAGCATGCGTGCTGGGGCGTGTTCAAAGAGGCTGCTGACTTCTGGAAGTTTTGTGAAGGTCGAGGGCTGTTTACAGCAATTAACTGTCCCCTGTTGTGGTGACAGTAGCGTTTCGCGAGCATCTGCAGCTGGGGGCCGTGGGGGGCACTAGGAAGAAGAGACCCTGTTGCTGCCACCTGTCCGTGTCTGCGCGGCAGACAGGGAACCTCTCCTAGTGAGAGGCCCGCCTTGCTTCAGCCAGCGAAGGTTCACTGATGAGCGGAGCAGAGGAAGACCAGCAGGTGGCGCTGTGTACATTTGTCAGAATTGCCCAAATGCTACCCCTTACACAGGGAGGTGGACTGTGGGCCACATTGCTTCTGTGAACATGATGGGAAACATTTATGGAGCAGCTGCTGCGCGCTGAGCCCAGAATTAAGCACTTCATCCCCATTTTACAGATGGGGTAACTGAGGATTAGAAAGGCAATGAGAACTTGCTCGGGACTTTTTTTAGTGGTAAATGGAAGACCTGGGATTTGAACCTGTGCAGCCTGACTCCAAATGACATCTTGATTTTGCTCCCAAGCAGTTAACGATCCAGGGGTTCAGAACCCAGCTCTTGCCTGGCCTTTTGCCCCAGGGTCGGTCCCAGTGCAAGCATGTATGTGAGCTCGGGCGTGTTATTCACCCTGTCCGAGCCTTGGTTTTCTCAACAAAAATAAAAGAGGGTCAACTTCATGGCTTTGTGGAAAATGTTAAGTGCGAGGTGATAGGAGGTGCACTTGACATTTACGTCCCTTCCATGCTCTCTCCACAGATGTCCACCCTTCTCTTCTTCGCGGCCCCCTCTGGACCCTGGCGTGGTGGTCTTTGGACACACCAGTGGTGGCCAGCGGTCACTGAATGTCTTTCTTCCCCTTCCCCAGGGATGATCGGCTACGGCATGGCCAAGGGCGCCGTCCATCAGCTCTGCCAGAGCCTTGCGGGCAAGAACAGCGGCATGCCGCCCGGCTCCGCGGCCATCGCGGTGCTCCCGTAAGTGCTGGGGCTCCCCGGCCTCCCCTGCCTGGAGCCGCTCTCCCGCAGGGACTCCGGTGCCCTGCGGTGCACCCCGCCCTGAAGGGCCTTCTTCAGGTGCTGGGTGAGCCCGGGCAGCCCGAGCGCTGGACTGGCTGAGAGATGGCTCTGGCTGTCTTGCCTCCTTCTTGCTTTCTTTCTTGCCCTTTATCCGCCCCCCACTTCCTCCTAATTAAAAATAGAGTACACGTTTTACTCTAATATGTGTCGTACTATCTTTCACATCATGGTAAGGTCACTGCGGGAGGGAGACTGTATTCAGTCCTTGTGTGTGGGGGATGGGGAGGAGTCTGAGGGAGGATGTGGGACACTGTGAGGGACGGTCCTGTTTGTGATCAGGAGGAAGGTCCCCTCAGTGGAACCAGGTGAGGCAGCAGCTGGGGGTCAGAGGGCTCCTTTTCACTGGCTCAGCTGTCGCCTGTCATCTGTGAAGAAGCTGTTGGGACGGCCAGGGGCCTGGACCGTACGGTTCCCTTCCGCGTGTGTGCTGGCCCCACGGCCGTCCTGAGCGATTCCTGAGGCCTGGACGTTCTTGGGAAAGGTGCACGTAGCTGAATTCTCTATTCTCACTGAAAAGCCTAAGATTTCATGGAAAACGGCTACAGAATGAGGGAGGAGGCTGTTTTTTTTCCCCGCAGTTAAAAGCATGTTGTTCTTACACTTCAAAAATCCTCAGAAATGAGCTTAGCACATTATAGGGAGTGAACGAAGACTTTAAGTAGCAAAGCCGTTGCCTTCATTAAAGACTGCATTAAAAAAAAAAAAAAAACAGCAACAAGATGTGGCTTTTCCTTGGGTTCCTTTGGGTGAGCCACAAAGCGCCTCACTGGGTTACACTCGCGTGTGCCCTCGAGACTGCAGCGGCTTCCTGGCCTCTCTCTGGTCGTCGTGTGGGATCTCTCCACGGAAAACGCTGCCGCCTGTGGGGCCAGAGGCTCACGGTGTGTCTTCCTGGCCGGGGAGGCCAGGCACCTGTCGTTACAAAGGGAGACACAAACGACAAGCTTATCTTCGCCTTGCAGGGTTACCCTGGACACCCCTTTGAACAGGAAGTCGATGCCCGAGGCCGACTTCAGCTCCTGGACGCCCTTGGAGTTCCTCGTCGAGTGAGTACCACAGTCACAACGTCAGTGACCACGCAGGTCCCAGCCCCCTTCTCTGCCGCTGATGGGCTAGAGGACACGCCCGTGTCCCCCTGGCTTATTGGCAGACATGGCAGTGGTCTCGGGGGTTCACGGCCTCTGAGTGTACGTGGCCTGCCCGTGTGAGACTCTCCCGGATGGGGCCTCGGTGGGCCGATAGAGCCGCCCCCGCCCTGCGGTCCTTTAGGGAGCAGTAGCCGCGCTCGAGCCTGCAGAACGTCCCATAGCTGGTTCAGCCCTTGGCAGGGAGCTTGAAAGACTAGGCAGCTATACCTTCGTTCTGGTCCCGAGGTGGCAGGTGGGCTCTGGGGAATATCCCAGCACTCCTGTGTGCTTTCCAGTCAGCGAGGGCGCAAGTGCCAGCGAGGGGATTGTCGAAGGGGGGGTGTGCTGACACCCAAAGGAAGTGTTTTAAAGATCATCAGCTGCTTGTTCAGCCTTGTGAATTTCTTAAGCCTTTTCCTATTCCTGTCTTCTTCGCGGTGTCTCCTTGCCTCCTGCACGCAGGGTTGGGGCCCCTCCCCACCACAGTTAGTTGGTTAAATGCTCCTATTCTAGCATTTAATGTATTTTATTGTAATAGTCTGTTTTTTGTGTTTTTATTTCCCATTGCTTGACACAGCTGTGGGTGCTCCATAAATGTTTGCCAAAAAGAGAGAGAAAGAGAGAGAGTGAAAGAGAAAATGAATTTCTTATTTCTTTCAAATATCTGGGAAGATACTAGAGCAAAGTACGAAATATTTTGCACATATCTATCTCTTAGAATGAACTAATTAAAGTGTTTAAAAAATTACTTAAAGTCATACTGCTGTGTTATAAAGTATTCCAACAATGCAGAAAACTACAAAGATGGAAGTTACAATCTCACCAGATTCTGCCACTCAGAAGTGAGAAGGGGTCCAGTCCTGAGGTCACGGGGACCTGGCTCCGTGTCCATGACGCCTTAGTGGCTTTTTCACTGCGGCTCCACCTTCCCAAGCCATGGATATGGCGACAAGTGTGTGCCAGATTTTTGTTTTTTTTTTTTTTTAATGTAAAGCTTTTCTTGTTTGTTCTAGAACCTTCCACGACTGGATCACAGAGAAAAACCGGCCCAGCTCGGGGAGCCTCATCCAGGTGGTAACGACGGAGGGGAAGACGGAGCTCACGCCAGCGTATTTCTAAGCCCCTTCCGGTGCCTGTGAGGGGCTGCCGAGGAGGCAGTGAGTCTCGGGGCGGCCGCGTCTCCGCCCGTGTTTTTGGTCGTCCTGACTGCGGCTTGAGATACCGAGACCTATTTTTCTCTCACCTAATGTGCATTTGCTCCCCTAAAACAGTGTTAAATGTTCATGTGAAATAAAAAGCGTGTGGGAGGAGGCCTACAGGTAGCATTGTCCTCCATCCGTGTTGACCACCTAAGTTCCGAGGCCTCTGAACGGCCCCCCTGCGGCGGCGTCACATGTAATTGCTTTTGAGACTGTCATGTGTCCCTGACCACGACTGTCGGCCTGACTGGTTCAGAGATTTGTTGGCATCGGGGACATAGGAATTACGTGTCTGTCGCAGATGTAGTTTTCGCAGCCTCGAATTAAACTGCCTTAAACTCCTTTGGTGGCGTTTGCAGAACCCTGAGCACTCTGTCGAGGTGTCTCTTTCCTGTGCGGTGGCCAGGTGTGCGGGAGAACCGCTTGTGGTTATCTGCCTAATAAACGCACTTCATGGATGGTGGTGTCTCTGTGATCAGTGCGCATCTCCTATACAGTTACAGACAAAGGTACCGGAATCCTGGGCTGCTAGCTGTCTTTAGCCTCTTGAATAAAAGGGGGTGGCCTCTAGCCCTGAAATAGGTTTTCTCAGCACGGCAGTAGCCGTGCAGTGCCTCTTGGGCACATCAAGAATCGGGGGCGGGCCGGCCCTGAGCATTTAGAAGGAGCGCTGCATGTGGCTGATACGGGCTGTTCCAACAGAACCACTGGCTGGACCCTTCATTTTACAGATGAGGAAACCGAGTTGACTTACCATCCTCACGGCCATTGAGTGGCAGAGCTAAGCCCAGAACTCTGGTCACTGGATGGCCACTGTTTATAAAGGCCTTCTCCATGTGTTTTCTTTCTTGATTCCTTTTTATAAAAAATTTACTGAGAAAAATTTACCTGACATAAGATTAACCATTTTAAAGTGAAACATTAAGTGGCGTTTAGTGTGTTCATGACCTTCTGTCCCCACCTGCTCTGTCTAGTTCTAAAACACGTTCATCACCCCAAAGTAAAAACCTGTACCCTCGGAGCTGGTGCGCCCCCTTCCTGTTGCCACCAGCTCCTGGCGACCACCAATCAGCTTTCTGTCTCTACAAATACGGATATTTTATGTAAATAGAATCATGCAGTATGTGGCCTTCTGTGTCTGGTTTCTTTCCCTTGGCATGTTTTCGAGGTCCCATCCATGTTGTAGCAGCTATTACAACTTCCCTTGTTTTCGTGGCTGAGTAATAGTCTGTTGTTGGTATATGCTACAACTTGTTTATCCACCCATCCTCCAAGGCGATACCCAAATCTTACAGGAAATACGGTGGGGGCTCAGCAAGGTAGGACTGAGTTGTTCCATCACCCAGTGCCATGGTCTGAATGTTCTGTGTCCCCCTAAATGCATACGGTGAAATCCTAATGCTCAACAGGGTGGTGTAGGAGGTGGGGCCACTGGGAGCCGAGACCCCTGCCTGACCCCTGGGAAGGGGGGAGAGGCTGGAGGTTGGCCCACTGCCGGTGGCCACAGATCCCTCAGTGACGAGGATGCGGCTCGGAGAGCTTCTGGTCGGTGGGCATGTGGAGGTGCTGGGAGGGTGGCACCCTTGGGGGGCGGGGGCCACAGGAAGCTGTGCCCTTCCCCCACCTCACCCTATGCAGCTCTTCCACCTGCTGTTCCTGAGTTACAGCCTTTTATAATAAACCAGTCATCCAGTATGTAAAATGTTTCTCAGTGTTGTGAACTGCTCTAGCAAATCAGTGGAACCCAGGGAGGGGGTCATTGGAACCTTCCGTCTATAGCCAGTTGGTCAGAAGCACCGGTGACAGCCTGTTGGCATCTGAAGCGGACTGCGGTGTGCATCTTGTGGGACGGAGCCCTTCCCCTGTGCGATGTGCTGCCACCAGGTAGACAGTGTCAGAATTGGGTGGGGCTGTAGGACACCCAGCTGGGGTCGGAGAATCGCTTGGCGCAGGGAAAACACAGGCGTGTTGTAATTGGTGCCAGAATCCTTACCCGCCAAGCTCCTTTGCCGTCCCCCTTCCCTCGTTTTGTGCCAGAATGAGCTAAGACCGCATCCAATGCGTCATTGGCAGACGGGTGCTTCGGGACAGGCGGGGTGCCTGGGCTGCAGGCGCTCGGCTCCGTCCGGCTCCGGGTCTTGTCCCTTTCTGGGGAGGCACGACTTCAGGGTGGGTCCCCTGCCTCTGCTCTCTGGGAAACTGTGTGAACATCAGAATCAGTAAACCTGGGACTGAAGTCTCTATCCCTCACTGTGCTCCAGCCTAACACACTTTCACCTGCTCCTGCAATGGTCCAAGCAGTTCTTTTCTAGAAGCCTCAGGAAGCATGGTCCACCTAGGAGAGCTTGACGCTTCTTTGAATGGATATGAAAAATACCTGTTGTGGAGAAATAGATTTTTGGATAATAAAAATTTCATGCAGAATGCTTTCCTTTTACTTTTTAAAAAAAATGTATTTATTTCCACAGGTAGAAGCAGACCTAGCATTTTGAAAATGCCTTAGCGACATCACTTGTTTGTAATGTTTATTCTGTATTCGCGCTTTTGCTCTCCAAGCCTCCAAACCAGACTTCTCAGAGGCCGAGAAAGGGACTGCCATGTAGGTAGTCAGTAGCTGCTACGCGGCGGAGAGGCAAACGTGGTCTGAATCCGAATCTCAGCGCCTGGTGATGGTGGGCTGGCTCTGAGCTGCCTGGGAGTTGGGGGCGTGGCTTCGTAGGTGGAAGTGTGACTGGCTTCCTTGGCTCCCCGTTATTTCAGTGTGTTTCAGTGACCCCCTAGAGATCGATGCCCAAGACCATTCCCTTGTCCCTTCAAAGACAGGCCGCTCCGTTATAATGAAACAATTGCAATTAGGACATGAGTCAGTGTCGGAGATCTCTTGCCCAGCGTAGTGATTATCGTCAACAACACTATTATATACAGACTAGATCGTAAATGTTCTCACCAGGAAGAAAGAAATGGCAATTGTCTAGTGTAGTGGAGAGGTGTTAGCTAACACTACAGCGGTAATCACGTTGCAGTCTATAAATGTATCCAATCAACATGTTATACACCCTTCCTTTACACAGTGTTTTATGTCAATTACATCTCAGTAAAAACAAAACAATAAAACGCGCCCTCTCTGGGGTGGTCCTCGCCCGTGTCACCCACAGGATGGTGCGCATCCAGGAGGCTCTGCATGTCAGGGCTCCCAGGGACCTGGCGTCCAGGGCAGCTTCAGTCCTTTTCCTCTGACCTCAGTCTCCAAAAGAATTAGCCAGGGAGCTTCTTAAAATCACGTTCTTGGAAGCCTCCCCTGGCCTGAGTCAGCAGTTGTCGGGTAAAAGCACGTATTCATTGTCTATTGCTGCCTTAACAAATCGCCTCAAACGCAGTGGCTTAGAGGGACAGTACTTGGTACCTTTCCTAACTTCTGTGGGTCAGGAATTGGGGGTTCTGGCTCAGGGCCTCATGAGCTTGCTGTCCCATGTCAGCCGGGGCTGCTCTCCTCCGAAGGCTGGACTACACAGTGCACCCACAGTCGGGGACCGGTCAGGACAGGAAGGAGGCGCCCCGCTCCTCCCCCTCTTTTGGGTGTGTTCAGCCACAGGTGCTGCTGGGAGTGGCAGGTTGCGTCCCATCCGGGGCCTTCTGACCACGGCTTCCGGCCAGCAGCCCCAAACGTCATTGTTTTCTCCTCCAGCAGGTGTGACCTTCAGCCCTAGGCATCCATCGTCCCCATCTGTGCCGGGTCACCTTGTCCTTCTAGGCCACCCTCCTGGGCAGCGTCCCTGTCAAGGCGGCCCGAGGAGGCCTCTCCCCCCACGGCCCCCTTCTGGCCTGCGGGGAGACGCAGGTCTCTGCCTCCCGCCGGCGCCTTCTCCGAGAGCGAAGAGAAAGGGGCCACTCCATGGCTCTCCAGTGGCTCTCTCCCTGGGTCTGGCCTCTGCTTTGTTGGAGGCTGAGGGGAGGGGAGGTGTTCAAGGATTCTGGAAATGGCTTCCCAGTCTCTTGATGGGACCTGCAGAAATGACCCAACACTCTGCTGGGGAATGTGGGGACCGGGCGCCTGTCACAGCTTTGCCTGTGGGCGTCGGCAGAAGTGCCGGGCCAAGTCCCTTTTGGCGTCCTGTTCAGTCTGTCAACCTTAAAGCTTCCCGAAATACCAGACTCCAGCTCCACGAGCCTGTAGCCTGTGTCCATGTGGGTTTCCCCGAGGTAGCTTGAAGGTGGTGTGTCAGAGCTCAGTACCCGCCCCCCACCCCCAGTCTGTTCCAGCTGCTGGAACAAGCCACACACTGGAGGCTTGTCAACAACAGAAATTTGTTTCTTGCTGCTCCGGAGGCTGGAATGCCAAGATCTGGGGGCCAGCATGTTGGGGGAGGGCCCTTTTGGGGTCCCAGACTTCTCATTGTGTCTTCATGGGGTCGATGGGGCCAGGGACCCCTCTGGGGCCCCGTTTATAAGGGCACTAATCCCACCCTCACCACCTAACAACCCCCAAAGGCCCCACTTCCCAGTAACTGTCATACCGGACCTCAGGGCTTCAACTTGCAAATTTGGGGAGGACGCTGACATTCAGACCGTTACAGTCCTTGGGACTGGAAGCCGCAGGGGCTGGGAACTCGTATCACCCGGGCCCCGCCTGCTCTCCCCGCCGTCTCTGCCTGATGCTTCACCACACGCTGCCCACCTGGCCGCCTTATTATTCCACGGGTGGGACCTCCCTCTGCCGCCATGCGCCACGCCCCCATCACCCCGGCTCAGCCCCCTTCCTCAGCCCTTTCTCGGCCCCTGATGGGGCTCCTGTCTCCTGGAGCCCCTGTCGCCCCCGACTCCAGGAACCTGCGGGCGGTGAAATCCCATCTCTGACCAAAGGCTGGGCTGGGTTAGGTGTTCCTCCGCTGGCCCTGTGATTTCCTCTGCCATCGCGGGACGCCTCTTGGGCCCCACCATGCGCCCCGTGTGCCTGCAGGCGATCCCAGCCGTGGCTGGGGCGCCGGCTCCGAGCAGGCGCACGCCGCGGCCCCTCCTCAGCTGTCCTGCCTCACTCGCCCTCCGCCCTGCCTGACCTTGAGCACGGGATGCCCGCAGACGTGGACCGGCACGAACCTGCGAGGGCGTGCGCGGTC